AACAAAGAAATTGACACAATGAAAAAGCACATGACAAAAATGACAGCAACAAATTCATATTTGCTGATAATTACATGTCTGGCAAGGGACTTATCTCTAAGAATGATGGAAAACTCCAATGCCTCAACACCAAAGGAATTAACAATCCAACTGAAAAATGGGCAGAAGACATGAATAGACACTTCAGTAAGGAGGATGGATAATTCAGGTGGTCAGCTAATACATAAAAAATGCTCCAATCATTGGCCATCAGAGAGATGTAAATCAAAACAATAATGGGATATACCATCTCATCCAGCAGTGATGGCAAGGTTCAATGTGACAGAAAATAACAAATGCTGGTGGGGATGTGGAGAGTTGGGACTCTCATACACTGCTTGTGTGGCTGTGAAGTGACACAAACATTGTGGAAAGCAATATGGTGGTTCCTTAGAAAGTTGGAATTGGAGGTACCATTTGACCCAGCAATCCCATTACTAGGACTATGTATATATCCTAGAGGGGTGAGAGCTAGGATAGGAACAGATACATGCACGCTCATGTTCATGCTGGCAAAACTGGATATCCATTTGCTCATATTCATCACAGCACTATTTACAATAGCAAAAAGATGAAAACAACCTATGTGGCCATCAGTGGAAGAGTGGATGACCAAACTATGGTACATATACATACTGGAATGCTATGCAACACTAAAGAATAATGTAGAATCTGTAAAACATCATATAATATGGATGAACTTGGAGGACATTATGCTGAGTGAAATAAGTCAATCACAGAAGGACAAATATAGTATTAGTTCATTGTTGTAGAGGGTCAAGGAAAGGTTTATATATAGAGGGAAACTTTCTTTGTTGGTTGCCAGGGGTGGGAGGGAAGGGGAGGGAACACTGCAAAAAAAAAATGCATTAACCGATGTCACCTTAGTTTTGTGTATTTCACTGTACATAAATTATATTTCAATAAAATGCATTTTTTTAAAAAAAATAAAGAAGTGAAACTATCTCCACTTGCAGTTGACATGATCCTATACATAGAAAAACCAAGAGACTCTACAAGAAAATTACTAGAGCTGATTGAAAGAGTCAGCAAAGTGACAGGATTCAAGATCAACATACAAAAATCATATAAATAAAAACATCTTTGAAAAGGAAATAAAAAAAACAATACCAATTACAGTAGCTACCAAAAAGATAAAATACTTAGGAGTATATCTTATTAGGGACACAAACCTATATAAAGAAAACTACAAAACACGACTGCAAGAAACCATGAGACCTACATAAATGGAAGAATATGCCATGCCTCTGGATAGGAAGACTGAACATTGTGAAAATGTCACTACTACCCAAAGCAATCTATAGATTCAATGCAATATCAATTCATATTTCATCAACATTCTTTAAGGACATGGGAAAACAAATCACTACTTATATATAGAAAGAGACTTTGGATAAGCAAAGCACTACTGAAGAAGAAAAACAAAGTGGGAGATCTCACACTCCCTAATTTCAAAACACACTCCATGGCCACAGTAGTCAAAACAGCCTGGTACTGAGACAATGACTGATACATAGACCAGTGGAACAGAATTGAGAATCCAGAAATAGATCCACCCACATCTGTTGTTTTGTTGTTATTTGCCATCAAGTCGGACCTGACTCATAGAGACCTCTTCTTGGGTTTCTGAAGCAGTATCAGTATGGAGGTGGATTGCCCACCTATGGACAACTGATATTTGACAAAGTGTCAAAACCCATTCAATAGGGAAGAAATAGCCTCTTTAACAAATGGTGCTGGCAAAACTGGATATCCATTTGCAGGAAAATGAAACAAATCCATACCTCACACTATACACATAAATGAGCTCAAGATAGATCAAATACCTAAATGTAAAACCCAAAACTATAAAGTTCATCAAAGATAAAATTCAAATGCATCAGTTCATCAGTTCTCCTCATTCACTGTCCAACTTTCAAATCCATATGAGGCTATTAAAAATCCCATGGCTTTGATTAGGTGCATCTTAGTTTCCAAAATGACATCAGTGCTCTTTAACACTTTAAAGACATCATTTGCAGCAGCTTTGCCCAGTGCAATGTGTTGTTTGATTCCTTGACTGCTGCTTCCATGGTACTTGATTATGGATCTAAGTAAAATGAAATCTCTGACAACTTCAATCATTTTCCATTTATTGTGATGTTGCTTGCTGATTCAGTTGTAAGGATTTTTGTTTTCTTTATATTGAGGTGTAATCTATACTGAAGGCTATAGTGTTTGATCATTATTAGTAAGTTCTTCAAATCATCTTCATTTTCAGCAAGGAAGGTTGGGTCATCTGCATGTAGCAGGTTGTTAAAGGGTTTTCCTCCAATCCTGATGCCACGTTCTTCTTCTTATAGTACAGCTTCTCAGATTATTTGCTCAGCATGTAGATTGAATAAGTATGGTAAAAGGATATATCCTGACACACAGCTTTCCTGATTTCAAACCAGTATGTATCCTATTGATCTGGTCAAATGACTGCCTCCTGGTCAAGTTCCTCATGAGCACAATTAAATGTTTGGAAATTCTCATTCTTTGCAATGTTATCCATAATTTGTCATTATCCACACAGTTAAATGCTTTTGCACAGTCAATAAAAGACAGGCAAACATCTTCCTGGCATTCTTTCCATTCAGTTCAGTTTCATCTGACATCAGCAATGATATCCCTCATTCCATGCCCTCTTCTGAGTTCAGCTTGAATTTCTGGCTATTCCCTGTCAATATACTGATGCAACCGTTTTTGAAATATCTTCAGCAAAATTTTACTTGTCTGTAGTATTATTTGATAATTCTGCATTCTGTTGGATCACCTTTCTTTGGAAGGGGCATAAATATGGATGTCTTCCAGTTATCTTGCCAGGTAGCTGTCTTCCAAATTTCTTGGCATAAATGACTGAATGCCTCCAGTGCTGCATGTGTGCTGAAACATTTCAAGGGGTATTCTGTCAATTCCTGGAGCCTTGTTTTTCTCCAGTTTCTGCAGTGCAGCTTGGATTTATTCCTTCAGTACTATTGGTTCTTTATCATATGTTATTTCCTGAAATGTTGAATGTTGTGGACAAATATTTTTTGGTACAGTGACCCTATATTCCTTCCATATTCTCCTACGTCATTCAGTATTTTGCCTTTTGAATCCTTCAATATTGCAGTTCAAGACTTGAATTTTTCTTCAGTTCTTTCAGCTTGAGAAATGCTGAGTGTGTTTTGGTTTTCTAATTTTAAGTCTTTGCACATTTCAATATAATACTTTACTTCGTCTTCTTGGGCCACCCTTTGAAATCTGTTCAGCTTTTATTTCATCATTTCTTCCATTCACCTTTTTTTTTGTTTTCAATCCTATGAGCTAGATATTGTTATTATACCTATTTTGCAGGTAAGGAAGGCAATATCCAGAGAAGTTAAACAACTGTCCAATTAACCGTTAGGCTATCTTGCTCACATTTAATCTTAAAAGCATATCATTAGCATTTCATTATTTGACTAAAGTCATACAATCTGAAAAAAAAAAATGCATTACAAATTCTGAAACTAGCTTATGTATATTTTATTTCTTTTCTTTTTTTTTTAATTTTATTTTATTTATTGTGATTTGGGTGAAGATTACAGAGTGAATTCACTTTCCATACAGCAATTCACATATACTTTGTCTCATGTCATTGACCACAGTTTACAATGCAACAGCTCCCCTCCCACTTCCTCCCCATAGTTACCTCTTCCCAGTGACCACCACTCCATACTCTCCTG